GTACTACCAGTAATCTTTAAATGGATCTTGAAATTGGACAGCGTTATCAGCGACGGTTTGCCGCAATTGGAGATTTAAAACTTTAATGAGACGGAGGAACAAAGGCCCGCGTGAGGATATTTCTCAAGGCTTCTCGAGGTACAGCCAAGTTCCCGGAGAATGTTCGAATTTGACTTGAAATTGGTATTCAATCTGTGATACCAATCGGAAATTCCGTTCTTATCCTGATCACGAGTTAACTGTCTGGAATGAAATCAGAAACGATGTAGGAACTTGCACTTTCGTTCAATGGATAAGATCGATATATTGTTAAAAAATCAAATAAGAAGTTCCTCTCCATTTTCAAGAGCCGTTTTGAAATTCCTCCATTTTTAAAACCCATATTTACCCTATAACTGTTGAATTCAATAGAACGAAAAATATAAAAAAAAAACAGAAATGGGAAAATTTTTTTGCGGGGCGACAGGTGTATGAAACACGTGTAACTTGTGTACATCGAGAGACCAACATTTAAAAAATAAAAAATAAAAATATTCGTTGAGTGTTGGTAAATTTATTTAAATCTAAATTCTTTAGGTAAAAAGCGAACCAATTGCTTTCACACCAAGTTACGTATTTAAGGAAATGTGTATTCCCTCGCGTGAGGAGAAAACTTTCCAGCGTAAAAATACGCATATCGTCAAAAGTAAGCATATATTAATTAATTACCTACCGGGGACTGAATATCTTTTATTTTCTTTACTTGCTTTTTCTTTCATTGTAGTAATAGTCAGACCGCCACGCTGCGTATATACGAACCGGGCCCGAGGAATGAAGGGAACGCGGTGTGTTCGGACATCGGGAGGTCCCGGTCATCGGCGAAAAGAGCGCGCGCGTCGCTTGGGACGATAAATCGCGCGTCGTTCCCGGTCGCGTCGTCGCTCGCGACAGAATAATCTAAACTTTCGCGAAGCAACGAATATCATTCGGCTTTAATTACGGCCGGGCGGGTCGGGAGAGACGCGTCGCGCCGCGTCTGAGGCGAGCGTGACATCCGTGCGCGCGCCGTGCCGCACGATCCCGGCTGCGGATACGAAACAAAACCCCAGTTGTGACGGTAATTACGGCGGGAGACTTCCGTGCGCCGTTTAAATTAAGCCATCCGCCGGCGGATGAATCGGCCGCGAGGAGCGGGATTTATCGTCGTTTCGCTGTTCGATTCATTCCCGCACCGACACGGACGCGCGTCTCCCGTCTCCTCTATCTTCTTCTTGCCGCTCGGAATCTGAATAAAGCGGTTACGCCGGGATAAGGGCCGGAATAAAAGCCGCGAAGAGCGAATTAACTAAGCGAGGTCGAGAAAGAAAGGGCGCTCGTTTGATGTTTTGCGCGCGAACTGCTCAAGCGTGCCACGGGATGAAGTCGTTATTTGCAGTTCGCTGCCGGATACTTCGAATCGTGCGCAAAGCCGAAAGACCGACCGACAGTGCTCGTTGCGAACGTTGCGAGAGATACGTTAAATTCGATAGAAAAACTTTGATCCTGTACAACTTTCAATCTAGGGGATAGTATACGGCGTGTATGACTCTAACTAGTACGCATAAGGTCGAAAGCACGACAACCAAAGTCATTGTAACCTTAGGCGCGTACCTGCGCGAGGTAAGTCGTGCAACTCTCGGCCTTGGAAATGGTACGCGCGTACACAAGCGACGCCGGCGGTACCGGAGTTATCGGCGCGGGGCTTTTACACGCCGCTCGGCAAAGTGAATAGAAAATTATTCATTTCGGTGTAAAACCGCCGTTGGAAACCGCCCCGGGTCTAATTTCATCAGCCTCGCGGTAGGAAAAATTCGATATGTAAATAACCGCCGCTTGAAGCGCTCGGTACGTACGAGTGGAATCCTTTATGGCTCCTCCGCGCACTCGGGGACTCGCCGAACGCTCAGTTAGCCTGATCTTGATTTCGTCGCGCGATTGCGAAGGCTCGTGTCGCGATCGTGCGCGCGAGCTAACGCGATGTGCAGCCGGGCGCTTCAGAAACGAACTAAAAATTCAGTGATGCCGTTGCGACAGAGAGAGACTGAGGCAATTTAACTTTCGACGAGCGCGCGCGACGAGCAGTTCACCCTTCAATAGCGGTCGGCTGCAGGGAAGGATACGACATGTCCTTTGATGAGGACATCTATGCGGACCGTTGGCGCAAAAAGGGCCCTTCTCGTCGGTATTCCGCCTGTCGATGCTGCTAACGGAATACATTAATTTTTAACGAGTCGCGCCGGGGGTTACGTCCTCTCGCTTTTACATGCTACGGAGAACTCGGGGCGCGAATTTTCAGTCGCAAGGCGAATTTCGGTCGCGAAGGAAGCGGCGGGAGACCGCGTCGCGGGCCGCGAAAAATCCGTAGAAACGATTCGCTTTGAATAATGGAGCGCGCCGCGTCGCGACCGTGCCGAGGGAGGCGGGATTCGCAAGAGTAATGTATAACGATCGATTGTGACTTAATAATCGTGAATATGATCGACCGTAACTTCTCCCTTCTCTGTTAATTTGTCTCGACCCTCTGAATACCGAGAAACGCGTCTCGCTTCTAACAAGACGAGCGAAAAGTGCCGGAAGTGTGATAGCGTTTCTTAATCCTCTTTAAGCTCTTCTTTTCTCCAAAAACGAAGAACATCTCTAAGAACGCGCGACGTAAACTGTGAAACATTGATTGTGTAAATTGACAGGAAAATTTTAATTTGTAAATACTTGGTTACTTTATCTTTAAACAGCGCACATTCTGACACGAGAAGAAAGAAACGAATAATTGCTGAAGCAATCCGTGTAGGAATCGTATACATTCTAAAAATCGGTACTCAGCCAGTCCCTCGTCAGCAATTAACTCCTACTTGGAAAATCGTTGGCAATGTTGTCGCTTAAAGTCATAATTACCCGCGACGGTGGGCGAACGAAATCAGATTTGAAGAGTATAAACATGAGTTTACATCGGTTATATCGGAAGTTTTATAACGTAATAAAGAATCAAAGCCTTTCTGCATCCATCACAGGGATATCAATAGCAGGGGAAGAAAGCATCGTCGCGAAATATCATCTGTCGTAATATAAATATTATGACAGAAAATACCGCGTATAAATAATAATGACGCAGCTCTTGTGTTACATTTTTTACGTTCCTTTTTATCACAAACTTTACTTTCACAAAAGCTCCTCCGGTATTTTCATCAAAATTATTAAAAAGCAAAGAGCCACTCAAAGGATTAATGTCTAATGACGTTCCGGAGATATCCCGCGCACTCGTTTTCATCAACTTTATTTAATCCTTAAATATACGGTTGCGTATAAATACATAAAATCACCGAAACAACGTTGACGATGAACGCAACGGCCAATCTGCGTTCACGAGGCGGACTGTCCGCTGCTTTGAAAAATATTTGAGTTCGAATGCGCGCCCGCGAAGATTGGACATCCATGGAGCGCGACGGTAAATCGCTGGGGATATCCGTATCTTCCAAATATCGGGTTGAAGTAAATTGGATTAGCGTTGATATTAATCTCGTTTCCACCGTCATTAAAAAGTGACGCCGCGCGATCGAGCGGAGCGAGGCGTGAGTCGTACGCGCCAGCTGGCAATCATTTTCGAGCCATCCCTATTTTTATATTCCCGCTATTTGCGCGTATGCAAAACTGCGCGCTGGAAATAATCGTATGCGTTAGCCGGGCCGGAGATTAGATTTATTTTTATGTCGCGCGTAGAGATTGTCCGCGCGTGGGAGAAAAAAAAAGGACAGGAGAGGAAAAAATACGGCAACTCGATTAGCAATCCGAATTAGGATTGAATAACGCGCATGTTTACACGCGTGCGGGCGAAACTCGATTGTTTTTGCAAAAGAGTAATGTCACGAGCCCGAATAAAAATCAAACCGAGACCTGACGGAAATAATTCGCGCGCGCGCGCCGCGACGGCCGCGTATTTTTTCAGCGTTGCCGTCCGACACACAATGGCCGGGGCTTGGAAAATTCGCGCGTCGAATTCGCCGGCGGAAAAAGAACAGTTTCGGGCGCGAAAAGCCGCTAACGCTTCAATTTTCTTCTATGAACCCCGGCCCGAGTGTGAAACGCGAGCGGCCGTTTGTACCGGGGCGTAATGTGCCGATAAAGCACTCGCTGAACTCGTCGCGAAATCTGCAACATTTTCTCGTCGGACGCGCCATTTCGCGCCGCCGGGCGATCGCATCGTCGAACTGGTTTTAAAACGGCTCTGCTCCACCTTCTCCCCCTATCCTGACGCACAGCAGGGGGGGGGNNNGGGGGGGGGGGGGGGGGATTGTGACGCACGAGTGGCCTGAAAGACCGCAGCGGCCAAATTGTATCTCGGCTTTCTGCGATTCGCGAAAATTTGTATAATCGCCGCTTGCCAAATGCACCGCGAATTTCGCGCGCGCTCGGTCGAAAGTATCGCGTCGGAGGACGGAAGGGGATGGGGGTGGAGTTGGACGGCCGGATGGAATCGGGCCGAATTTAACGGCACTGTAATCGCGCTTTAACGTCTTTATTTCGGCGCCGTTCGCCGGTTAATTAAATGACGTACCGTGAATTTCTCCCGCGTCCACCTGGGCCCGCGAAATGTTCCCGTTAATCGAGAGAAGCTTACGCCAATTACGCTAATGAGCGTGCCGGTGCCGGTAGCTACAAGCGGTCAAGAGTATTAGCACTCGCGTTTAGCTCCGTGCTTTCCGGCCGGCATTTCCGAATCAGATTTTATGCCTCTGTGCAGTTTGTTAAATCGAACGGCATCTGCATTCTTCATCGGCCGGCGAATTGCGCCCGATTCGGCTACGTGAATCGCGCGCGCTCAACAAGCGGCACACGCGGTAATCGCAATGGATAATAAATATTATTGTGACAATAATTCTGATAATATTGCTTCGCGTTAATACATCGCTAACGCTATATAGAATCGATATAATAATATCGGTGCAAGCTGAGGCGTGTAGTCCCGCATGCCCGGCGAAAACACTCACCTCCTCTCGGCGCATCCGTAGGCCCGGGGCGCTGTCTCAAGCCTGTAATGCAAACGAATAGCCGTGAGTTAATGAACACACTGTATGTCGGAGAGGAGAGATTGTTCATCGTCATTTGCATCCTCAACATACGGCGGAGAAGGGCGGTACGTCGAGAGAAATCCCAACAAAGTTATTTACACAGGCTCCGCAGGTGACCAATCACGAAGAGATATAGGACGGGCCTTTAAGGGCTTAATCGTGGTTGTTGCAGCGATATACATAGCATTTATTGATTTTTGCGGAGAATATAAATGTTTAATGTATGTTTACGCACGCACCGGGTAATTCTCCTGGACAAACGCACGCGGTGAATCAACCTCCCGCGTTAAATGAATCCTACGAATTCCTCGTTCAAACAAATCCTGATTATTTCCTCGATTATTTCCCTCATCATTTTAATTAATTCTTCCCCGAAAATTTCGAATATTCGTTCTCGGCCTGAATTATATTTTCTTCCGCTTTGACACGAAAAACGATGGTTGCAATATGCATGTAAGGTAATTATCACTGACATTATAGTAACATTTGTATCAGAAAAATCAGGTCTCTCTTAACTGTAATTCTTTTATTTATACGATTATATATATATATAGTTGCAGATATACCAAAAGTTTTCTTCTCAGTGCGGCAGCTATTCTCACGCAGACCGGCAAACGATATCAATATATGAAGTTACGTCGTTTCAGATTTTCCGTTACGCGGAAGGAAAATCTCAGCTCGACTATAACTCAATAGGGACCAGACGAAAATTCTATGAGGAGATATGATGTCTTTGTTAACGCGGCGAAAAATATTCGTCTGAACGTTGTCAACCGTATTATAACTCGGTTAAGAAAACAATTGGTCCAGTGGAAATCCACGGGCATTTCTCTGTCTCTGCAATCGAGTTTCCCATCTGGTCCCTATTCTGCCGCGAAGTAACGGAATATTCACGTTACATTAACGGAATTGTTTTTTCCCTGTAAGAAATACACACGCCAGCATGGTAGCTTTAACTCGCAGTGTAAAACCAGGTTATTAATACATTCCGTGCCGGAATGGCACTAACATTACGTGACCTCGTAGACTAGCTGTCTACGTTGTCCTGTTATGAGCTGAATTTGGTTTGTTTTATTTCAAATAACATGTACATTCTCATAATTTTTCAAGTATTTCATAATTATACTTCGGATTACATGCGCGCGAAAAAAGGATTATAATTGTGAATCATCGCGGCAGTCAGTAATACTATTGTTTAACTCCAACGGAGGAGCCTGGGGAAGACATTCAAGCTGTTATGCCGGTTTATGTACGCAACGGCGTTTAAAGCTTAATTTGGATTGTTTTGCTAGTGCCGATCGACAACACGATGAAAAAGGGCCATCTGTCCGGATACGAACGCGATTCGAGCTTAATTTCCACCTTTAGAATTTCAAACGGCAGCTCGTGTTCGCGTGCGTAACCTCGTTTGCATTACAGAAAAGGAGATATTAAATTATAAGACGATTCGATGTAATTTCGAATGGCAATTTCGTTACGGGCGGTGTAAAACATTTCGGTTAACCGGCGTCTGGTATAAACCGTGGTTTCGTTCGTTCGGTGCATGTTCGCACTATCAATACTGCGCTCAGATGAGAAAAAAGAGCAGGGAAAATAGAGAGCGTTTATTTTTTTGCGTAACGATTTTGTAAAATACCACCCATACCGATGACTTGATCTATTTTTATTTCCAATTTATTTAGAACGCACAAAAAGTGCGTGCTCGGAGGCGAAGGGCGTACACAGTGAGCGCCAATATTCCAGATTAGAAATGTCAATATCGATAACAATTTAACAGCCTCGACGGCGCGTCTCACCGCTGTGTGCGTTCGTATATTTGTTTAAAGTAAAAAAATCACTTCGAAATGAGCTTGAGCGTTCGCGAGCGATCGTATAGAAAACCGGTAGTTAATTAATTTGTAGAGGTTGAAGGACAATTTCGCGTAAAATTTCGATGATTTTTCCTGTAATGCGACACCGGGGGTTGCGTAATGTCGACGCTCTTTCGGCTGAGATCGATGGAATAATGGAATTCGCGGGTAAATTCGCCGAGATCCCGATTCCCGTGACCGATGCATCCCAATTCCGGCATTTTCCGCCATCGTTATACCGGCCGTAACTACTAAACCAATTGGTCAGGGCCAGCGCGGAGGTGCAATCTAAACTTTCGAATTCTACGAACGAGTTGCAACCCTTGAGGCCCTTGTAGCAGCGCTCTCACGGCACCGTCCGGGGCTGCGTACCCGACCAGATTAATTTTACGGAATACCCGAAAATTACGACAAAAGCCGCAGCGACTTCGTCGACGCGGCTAAGAGCTATCCGGCGATTTTCCGTTTAATCATTTCAAGAGGTCTCCCGAGCGAAATGATATAAAACTAAGCGAAAAAGAGAATGTTATAATGGTATTGATCTCTCTTATTTCTTAATTCATTCTTTATTACAGCAGAGACAGAGACAGAGTCTGCAGTCGGTGGTCGAGCGAAACAGAGAGAGAAAGAGAGAAAAAGAGAACCCCTGATCTGCTTCCGACCGTAATTTTATAATCTCCCGTTATAGTCCGTTGTGTGTTTCAAATTGTCTTTATAAAAGACATGTGATGAATTTTCACGCCTTTTCTTTTATTGGTTTGTTTAAGTATTTGTAGACGCAAGATCTTGAGTCGATGTATACGCATGACATGATCAATATTAGAATAAAAAAGTATGCGTCGTCCAAACGTGTTAGACGGCTGGAGCAAGAATTTGTATGTTTTAAGTTAAAATTATATTACTAAGAATTAATTTTGACCAATAAAGAGCTGTGTATGGATATTGGGATAGCGAATAACAACAACAACAACAGTATAGAATAATATAGTGTTAATTGTTATTATTATAGGATAACAAACCTCCCTCAAGAGAGAAATTATTATTCGCTACCGGCGTCCAAGCGCAGCCCTTATTGGCCAAAATTAATGCATAGTGCTCGAATATCTGAGAGTATTAATACTATTTCGCTGAATAAAATTACATAAATGTACGATGCAAGGGGCACATCGGTTCTCTTAACTTCAAGCGATATTTAACCTTCGAAAATCGGCGAACATATTTCTCAAGGAAGTGACTTCGTGCGAAATCTCTCGCGACGACGATAATCGTGAGCTCGAATTTGATTAGTTTCCATAAATAGAATCCGCTTCTCCTTCGTTTCTCATTTTACGTAAGGTAACAGCTTTCCCTTCTCCCGCACGCTGATAAGTTGACCCGAGTGAGTCGCGGACTCGGGCAGAAGTTGCCGAAGGATGCTGCGATGAGTAGCGGGCCGATTTACGGATTTACGCGCCCTCGTGTTCCTCGGGGAACGGCGTAGTTACGAAGAGCATATCACGAGACGCGCTTCAGACGAATCCTCTTCCGAGGGAGAAAGAATCTTGCGCCCGGGTTCGCTCTGCGCTCTTCACTCGACGACGAAAATAAGTGACGGAATTAAAGTACCCGCGTCTCCATCCGGGATACGCGCTCGCTTCACATCGTTTCTCATCTCCGTCTCCTCTTATTTTTAGCATGAACAAATAAACGAAGAAAATGAAAGATCTAGAGTGGCCTAGTAATAATGCTGAAATATTTTTCGCTAATCGGTTAAAATAATCATCTCTTTTACAAGCCGATATCGTGTGAAATTAGTTCACAGAGCGCAAAGTTCGCTGTTTCGGATATCCACGTCCTTAACGGTCCACGCGCAATGAAACCGTTGTAAAACAAAGTTGATAATGTGACCCAATTAATTTTAATTTACACCGAATATGATCTGCTTTAATATTCGAGCTGCGCTTTCCTGCACCGCAGCCGGCCGCGAAAGGAAGCCTTTCAACGCTTTACTGCACACACCAGTCACTTGGGATGAAATATTGTTTACACGCTTCCCACTGGATTATTCATCCCGGATAATCACACGTGAATAAAACAAGAGACCGAGAATCTGCTTCTCCCTCTCTCCGTAATATCGCGCACGCCGCGATTTCCCAAGTTTACGTGCGTTTTTCCAAAGAAAGGAGGAAAGGGAAAGAAAGCATTTATAGATTATTTCTGGTGTACGATTGATCCTTTAATTAGTTATATATATATATAAGTATGACGGAAATTAATATTAACGCAAAATAATAAGTAATAAGATTATGTAAGATATACATGCGCGATAGAAAATTCTGTAACGTCAATGAAATTGATCAACTGTGCGATAATTGAAGTATATCCTCTCGATTCGATAGCAGCGTTATTGAAACTAACATTCGTGTTATTAAAATAACGCATGATGTATCAGTTCCAAACCAAACACGTTTTGGCTGGAAGGAACAAACTTCTTGATTACAAGAATCGAATTTGGTTCATGTCCGAAATCCTGTTTTCCCGCACCAAATCTATCTTTGCGTCAATCGAACCTTATTTTCCCGCGTGCTACTGAATCAAGATTTATTCGAATTAATTCCACCGACATAACATTTTTTCCCCGTATATCAGATTACGGACGTTTGCAGAATCGACGTATTCTTTAGAATTTTCGATAGTCGTAAAATTCTCTTTGGAAAGGGCACTGTCGGAAGGAAATAAAAGAAAACAAAAAAGAGAGAAGATCCGCGGAGCTGTCGGTTTATAGGATTACGGTTCTTTCGCTCTATACGATCAATAGCTCTTTTGCACTTGGGATGATTCGTCCGGAGTAATCATCAAAATTGAACCCCGTAAATTAGCCGCCGTGCAGACGCGGTCGGTCCGCTCTCGAACTTCATCCGCTTTTGAGCGCGACGTCAACGGTAGAACGGTCCGAGTCGCCGAATTACAAATCCGACGTAGCGCACCGGGATAAAAGGCAACGAGGATCCTGGCGTGAAAAACGAAGGGAGCGGTAACGGGACGTAGAAGAAGAGGAGGAAGAGGAGGAAGAGGATGAGGAAAGGGAAAAGCGAAACGAATGTATTTCAATCTCGCCCGTTACTCCGGCCA